TCGGAAATATTCAGCATGCTACGAACCCCCCATTGAATATATATGCATACCTACCAACGTCCAATGCATGCCCGTGGCACTTCCATGTTGTTTTTGGTTACTCTCTTGATGCAATGGACTTAGCGATGTGAAGAGATGGAGTCAGGAGAACGGATATTGTCTTTTTTCTAATATGCCATCCAAATTCGGTCTGAACCATTTCACTACCTAGATTTATGGGATCGGCGCCCACGCTGAGCCGTGGGCGCTGTTGCGTGAGGCCTGACCTAGCCATTAGGTCATGTAAATGCCGGATTAACGACAGAATTTTGCGGTGAACGCCTCACGTGCCGCAATGCTCGGCACGGTCCGACCGGCCCTCTGGACGTCACGTGGACATTATCGTGGTCGCAGCCGCCCGCAAGCCGTCTAGTCAGGGGCAAGCGACGAACGTTCGAAGCAACTCGAACGCACCCCGCTACGGGTGGGTGATCAGAAGTCAGGCGCTCTAACCAGCGTCTCGAAGTCCCCTCACTCTCTTAATTCGTCAACGTCAATAGACCAGGCATTGTCGTATCATCAACATGAAGTTTTACGAAAACCAGAAACATTAGCAGTGAATGGATGCACACATGGGGATGCAAAGCATATCTAAAACAATAAAAAAGAACAATGTTGCATTGTGCTAATAATCGCAGCTAATAAGAGTCCACTGGAAATAGGCGGTCTTTCGCTCTGGCGTGACATAAAACATGTCCCAAACGCCCAAAATAGGTTAACTTTCACAGATGACAACTAAAGCACTGAAGTTTAATTTCGACGCTGTCACGCACCTTAAAGTGCAATGTGATCAGGTGAAGGCAGGTCACGTTTTTTAAGTTCGTATGGTCGTAATGTAAATTCTTATTCAAAGTCCATAAACTGTGTTATAACTTCCAAACCACGGGTTTTCAAATGGTCTAAGTTTTTGTATATTTGTGCCGATTTCAAAGAGCAGATGTCTTGGCCGTCGCTAAATATACCACCCCATGACTAACTTAAACAAATTAAGGGCGTTATGTTCCAAGAAATGGAAGTCAAATCGAGCCAAAAAATCCCAGAATTCGTCTCAGATCACCAGATAACGGTGCGAAAAAGCTCAATGCAAAACCTGAAAAGTGAGAGAGTAAGGCCCGACCGGTCTAGGTGGTCATGCCCTTACCCTTCAGTGGACTTCCTCACATCCTGATTTGCTAGTGCTTGACTGTCGAGTTGCGAAGTAGTGTTTATTGTAACAAACGCTACTTGAAGCAAAGAACGAGAGTTAACGAGGCATGCATCAGATCGCTCAAAAATTGCTGAGGGTCTAGACCCCAGCAGCTTCTGTAATTAATACACCCGAGGCATTATGAAAGCGTTTAGCCTGTACGGGATGCATTAGGGGTCTGGCAGGAGGCGGCACTGGTATCGGATTGCAGCTAGCGTTACCCTGCTACCTTGCTATTCGGGATGTATTAGGGGTCTGGCAGGAGGCAGCACTGGCATCGGATTGCAGCTAGCGTTACCCTGTTACCGTACTATACGGGACGCATTAGGGGTCTGGCAGGAGGCGGCACTGGCATCGGATTGCAGCTAGCGTTACCCTGCTACCTTGCTATTCGGGATGTATTAGGGGTCTGGCAGGAGGCGGCACATGGCATCGGATTGCAGCTAGCGTTACCCTGTTACCGTACTATACGGGATGCATTAGGGGTCTGGCAGGAGGCGGCACTGGTATCGGACTGCAGTTAGCGTACCTTGTTACCTTGCTATTCGGGATGTATTAGGGGTCTGGCAGGAGGCGGCACTGGCATCGGATTGCAGCTAGCGTTACCCTGTTACCGTACTATACGGGATGCATTAGGGGTCTGGCAGGAGGCGGCACTGGCATCGGCATTGCAGCTAGCGTTACCCTGTTACCTTCCTGCGTGCTGTCCGGTACGGAGTGCGTTGGTTTGCGTGCTGTCCGCTACGGAGTGCGTTGGTTTGCGTGCTGTCCGGTACGGAGTGCGTTGGTTTGTGCGTGCTGTCCTCTACGGAGTGCGTTGGTTTGCGTGCTGTCCGGTACGGAGTGCGTTGGTTTGCGTGCTGTCCCGGTACGGAGTGCGTTGGTTTGCGTGCTACCCGGTGCAGAGTGCGATGGTCCGAATGCTGTCCGGGACGGAGGACGCTGGTCTGCTTGCTGTCCGACACGGAGGCGCGCTGGCTCGCGTGCTGTCCGGTACGGAATGGGCTGGTCCGTGTGCTGTTCAGTACAGAGTGTGCTGGCTTCGTACTTTCTGGTGCGAGCTAAACTCGTCCAATACCAACACTATAACTACCAGTATATGTACATGTCGTCCATAGGTTACCATTGAAGCTTGTACATCACCTGTAAACAGTGTCATAAAGAGAGAATGGCATGCAATTTTTGGCGTAATCAGTAACTTTGTAAGCTTTTACTTCGAATCAGATTGCATAAAGTAGAGGTAACTATATGCTCCTACGCCCGCAAAGTTCTGCAATTTAAGGGGAAATTTGAAGTAAGCAGGCACTCCCCACTTCGCCAAGCACCCATCGGGTTTCCTCAGAGCAGCTGATTTGACCGTGAAGAAGCCAGTTGCTACGACTGAAGTAAAATAAAAAAGATGCTCTGGCCCGTTGTAAATCAGCTGTGGTGATCGTAGAGGAGCCGGTGCATGGGCGGACAGGAGCGGAGGAACGGAACATTTAGACCGAAAATCAACCTAAAAGGAAGAAATTGTTGAGCTGTGGAGCGATGTCAACATATCAAGGGCGGATGAGTACGTAGGGTAGATTTGTACGTACATGTGCGAAAGTCGATACGACTACAGTCCGTATTGTAACATTGAAGACACTACACACATACGCTTAGAAGTGTGCTGGATAAGGCTGGCCGGACGGTGAGAGAACATACCTCTTTCCCACATGTCGCGGATTTCACGAGATCATGTTTTCTTTCTTGCTACGACACGGACAGATCTAAGTTCACAAAATGCACAACTTAAGGTAAGGACAAAGTCAGCTATTTCAGGGAATTTTTGTCGTTGAGGTGCATATCGTTTTTACACGTGGTGCAGGGAGGCTCAGAGTATGAACATGAGCACACGAAGCAAGCAGCTTGTTTACTTCTGCGAGTAACGGAACAAGATCGAGGAATATAGGATATCTACATTTCAGAGAATAAAAAAGTGATCGTAATTAGTTTAGGAACTACTCGGCACGTAAATCACAAAATTATTACGGACTTAACTCATAAATGACCACACTTTTATGCCTCCTTAGCGGTATTTCGGGATTTATTATAGGCGTCCAACCTCTCGGGTCCAAAGCGACAACATCGCTGCCATGGCAACGATCGCCTGCATAGGAATTGAAATCATTTCATCCCTGGCATTTTACGATTACTTCATAGAAGTACTGCCAGGCTTATGAAACCTGGCGTAGGAAGTAGGGAGTTACGCCGAAATTGCTTCGGCCAGCATGAAGTAAGTAGAAACTTCTCGTTATGAAAACTGGTTACTGGTGAGCCCGACGTTCATGAGCACTGTCCTAATGCGCCATTACGCAAGCGATGTAAGGCAGTACAAATGCCCGCATTTGTGGCATGAGATGAACTTTCCGGGAAGCGGAACAGCGTGGTAGCACATTTTAATCAGCGCGGCTACACAAGGCTGTGTAACAGGAGCATAAGCAAATTGGGGATTTAAAACATTGTGAATGCATATTTACACGCTGGTTCTGCCAATAATTCACCAATTGCTGAGAAACTGAGTGAACGGTGTTGCCTTTATTCCGTCATTATCCAAACTCCCCCATTCACATTCCATCGAAAGCTTCACTCAGCACGTCAGATGGCTCCACTCAGGATGTCGCGTTGGGAGGGGTAGCCATTTAGACCATGCCTAATGGTATGTCTGCTAAAGATTTTGCAAATGGCTCCTGCGCACGAGCTACAATGACTTCATAATTCATTTTTAGCTACAATCATCTCGCCATTTAAAAGCCAGCGGTGTTTGTCATTTCTAACGGTGTTTGGGGGTGCTAGCCTCGTGGATAGCTTCGGCGCTTGCTCACTGCCTATAATACAGCGCCTGAGGTATGCGTAGCCTCGCACTTGGGATGATGATGTCAGGGCCGGAAGTGAGGCAGCCTGTAATGACTGTCAGACAGCGTCACTCCGACACATGCCAAGGCGGCAACATGTGCCTTGCCGGTGCGCCCACGCGCTGCGTCCCATTTGGGGCCAGGTGGTGGTCATGCAGAGACAGAAGAGGCCTGGACAACTCACAGCCGGCTTCAGACTCGTCACCTCTACTGGCGGCGGCGCATTAGCGACGTATGTCTCCTCAGCGTCGATGACATTCTCCAGCCGAGGGCTAGCGTTTCGTTGGCAGCCCGCCGTTGAGTGACGCCTGACCGGCTCACCATTCGGCAGGCGTCTGGACCGGACGGAGATAGAGCCAAGCTCGGAGATAGCCCGTAGGACCAGTCATGACTCTGACCATTAGTCGGTACGCCGCCTGCTGCCGGCGGCGTGGCCGCTGCCGGCCGCCGCGCGACGCATCATCCATCATCGGTCTCGTTACGAGTGGAGCGTCGGCGCGCGGCTCGGCCGCCTTCCCTATCGCCGCCCAGCATCGGCGCCGCCGCGGCCCGCCGCGCCACGCTCTCATTACCGGCCACCGCCGCCGCCGCCGCCGCTACATTCATTTTTTCACAATCACCCTCCAATATTAGTTTTTGGAAAGGCCTTTAGCACCTGTGAGTGGCTACCTGTGTTGGAAGCTCCGCCCCCGGCCGGCGCGGCGGCCGCTGATTGGTCGGCGGCCGCATGGCCCGGCCGTAGAAAGTCAATGCCGGACGGGCGGCCGGCATGGGCGCGGGCGGCCGCGCAGCTAGCTGTAGTTGGGGATAGATGGCGTGGGGGAGAGCGGCGCGCCGCCAGTGAGGCCTGAGCTTGAACGTGCCGCCGCCGCCGCCGCCGTCGCCCGCCGCCGTCGTCGCCGTTGACACCGCACCATGATGCAGCCCGGAGACAGCTTCCCGGGCAGCCACCACTCGCTGCACCCGCACTCGCATATGCCCATGGATCTGCATATGGCGCAGGGCTTCCAGTACTACCGGTACGTACGGCGCCCGCAGCACTCGCTCAGGGCAACTCAGTGCGCCTGCTGCCGGCTGCAGGAGCGAGCACGCGGCCGAAAGGTCTGCGAGTGTGACGCCATTCCCATGTGCCCGGTGGGGGGCCGATCGCCCGGCTTGCTCTGTCGGCTGGGTCGGGATGACACCAAGGACGGCACCGGTGGGTAGGGGAGCAACGCCAAGTGGCACGGGCATCTGACACCTTTCTCTTGAAAATCGACATTAACCCCATGTGGCAAATGTTGAAATGCTGTTGTTAGCTCACGTTCCGTGGCCTCTCCAAACCTGGGCACGGGTGGAGAATATGCTACTGCAGGCGTGACAACCGTCGCTGAATATGTTTGTTCCTTAAACTTAGCCACATTAACATTTATTGTGGCGCTACGTGGAAAAGCCGGGGAAGAGATAGCGTTTCCTCCCTTCCCTCGCCAGCCAGGGTCTCAGAGGACCCTTGCCGCGGCAGACATGCGTGTACTGTGGTGACCTAGGACTGAAGGTGCGCGATTTCGACTGGCCATTCGACCAATTATGTATGCGTTAAAAAGCAGGCGTTATGTATGCATCAGTATATAGCTATAGGTACTTACATCTAAGTATGTCAACAGGCGTGATGGTGCAGCAGACGCGTAACGTTGTGGCAATGTATTCTGAAAATGTGACGAAACAGTGACGAAATCTACACATTCAGCGGTGGGTGAGGGTCAGAGACAGGTGAAAATGACCAAAACTATTCATATTTCACACAAGTTCCAATCATTCCGGCCGTTTAACCCACGGTCGCCTCGCAGATCCGTCCCACTTCGTTTATGGAAGAGTTGTGGAGGAGAGGGGAGGGAGCCTCTAACCGAATCATGAACTACATCACTGATGCTCTGTGTAATATGAATGGACAACATCAGACAAGTTACGAAAAATCTCAGTTGATTTTACTTAATTACGTTACGATATGTCGGAAAACTTTTTAAAAAGCAAACTTTAATCATCAAGCACGAATGCTTGTGCTCTTTGTAGTTACTCGTAAAGAGGCCCATTTTACAGCTTACATGAAATTGTGTTCATCTACTGATAGAGAACACCATTGGTCCGATGCACTGGCACCACCGGATAACTATAACCCTTATGGTGTTATATCGCTAGTACGTGACACATGAAACGCCTCCTGTTTGTTCTAAATGGGAGGCGCACAAGACTGCCTCGCAAACGAGCATCTGTGCTCAAACCCAGACATGTCGAAACTATTCGAAGATCAGTTAAAGTAACGATACTAGCAGATCAATAGATCTCGGACAGGTAAGAACGCACCTGATGTAATCTATCTTACGGAATAATCCCGTGTCACAAGCATCTGAAAGACCTTTTTCGAAAGCCGCAGCCTCCAAGTGCATAGCAGTCAGTCGGCAAATGCATAGCAACCAAATTTTTGAAAGAAAACATCTCAACCTGATACGATGAAGGAGAACAACCTAACCCAAAGATGAGGAAACTGAGCTATTTACAGCACTGTGAACATCTCCGGAAGCTGAAGCGCCCACTCCCATCGCTTTCTTCCTGAGACCGTCCAACCCGCTCCTATCCTCATAGCGTCATGTCGTTCAACGGCGCGGAGGGGCAGATCAAGGCACACAGAGACGTGTAGAAGGACGGCCCAAGGAGCACTGCATGCGAGACTGCATTCATTATGGTTTTAGCCATTTTTTATGAGCTCAGGGTCTCCTGTGGTGTAACCTAAATGTGAACTGAAGGGGAAGAAATGCGATCTGCCAGAAGTTCCAGTCATGACAGCCACGATATGTAATTCGGCTCGTCGCATCCCAAAGATGCTGTCGTCAATGCATGCCCACATGTCACGCCGGGCAAACTTATCAAAGTCGACGAATGCTCCTTGCCATAGCGAAAGCGCTAGGATTCCGCACTTTGACGGGTCTGTTACGTCGTTTACCAAATTTGACGGAAGCATTCCATACAATCGCTGAGCGGGTAACACGAGCCCGGCCAGTGGGATGCAGGGCTGCCGCTGTGCTTGCGGGGACTGCCCCGTCTGGCAGGGTCTGAGGCCACCGCCCCCTGTCTCGCTGCCGACGGCGGCAGTCAGGAGCTGGCGCACCGCGGCGCCGGCCGCCGCCGGGCCCCGGTCAGTAGCGCATGTTTCGTCCTTCCCCGAGGCCTCATTCGTGCACATTTGGTGCCGAGGCGAGCGCGTGCGTTGCTCTCTGCCCCGCACTGCCCTGGGGAGACGGGCCACGGTTCGGGCGGCCGCCTGTTACCGCAACAGCTGCTGAGAGCCGACCGATGTTGCTGTTGCCTGCTGTGTACACTGTACAGGGAACTACAATGCTTCTGTGCACCGCACAGAAGCATGTTATCGCCAAGCCGGGCACATTGCACAGCGGTGAGAAGGGCATAGAGTGCAGCGGTAGACTATGCGGCTGCGTTCGATGTATATTGTACAGTGTGCAGTGATGGACTAGACGTCTGTGTAGAGTGACGGATCAGACAGCTGTGTACAATGAAGGACCAGACGGCTGTGTACAGTGACGGACCAGACGGCTGTGTACAGTGACGGACCAGACGGTTGTGTACAGTGACGGACCAGACGGCTGTGTGCAGTGACGGATCAGACAGCTGTGTACAGTGACGGACCAGACGGTTGTGTACAGTGACGGACCAGACGGCTGTGTGCAGTGACGGATCAGACAGCTGTGTATAATGACGAACCAGACGGCTGTGCACAGTGACGGACCAGACGGCTGTGCACAGTGACGGACCAGACGGCTGTGTACAGTGACGGACCAGACGCTTGTGTGTAATAACGAACAAGACGGCTATGTACAATGACGGACCAGACGAATGTGTACAGTGGCGAACCAGACGACTGTGTACAGTGACGGACCAGACGGCTGTGTACAGTGACGGACCAGACGGCTGTGCACAGTGACGGACCAGACGGCTGTGTACAGTGACGGACCAGACGGCTGTGTACAGTAACGGACCAGACGACTGTGTACCGAGCCTGCTTAGTTCTATACGCTTACGCCAAGGCCATATACGTTGCATGCAGTACCGGCCTGGAGGATCGTGTAAAGTGACGAACCGTACGGCTCTGTTCAGTGACGCCGTCGTAGTGACGAGATCTGCCTCATAACTGAAACATGACTGGCTTGTAAGGGCCGGACGTTCTGCCCTTACGCCGTACCGTGCACGAAATTGTCCCGGTGTATAAGTAAAATATAAGTGTCGATATATTCCACCGGATATCGTGATTTTGTTCTTGATATCGGTCATGGAACATTCCAATCTAATGCGTCTTACAAAGGCTGTCCCAAATTGGTGGCCACCGTCAAGTTACAATTACTTCAATCCTCGCCGAACGTCCTGTTCGTCACAGACAATCATGACATTGTAGAGAGTGAGCTTAACGTAGGCCATTACAAGGTACATGCTGTAACCGCCTATCACGCAAAATTACGACCTATTGTTTATGCAGTAAGCCACGGCGCTATACATACTCTAGGAGATGGTATCTCGGGAGAGGAGAGCGTCCGCGAAGCCGCGTATGCATGCATGTATGGTGCGGACGGGCCGCGGGCCAACAGCCTTGACGCGGCTGGGCGTCCAGACAGCTGAGGGCGGGCCCGAGGCGGCCCAATCCTGTTAGCACGGAGGCGACAAATGATTTTACGGAAGGTACAAATGGATTCGGGAGGTTACCGTCATGCCGCTGTTAGAGGCTGGTCGTAGGGCCGGGTGGGTGGTTGCGGCGACCCCTGTCGCCCTCCCCAATGTCTGTTGTATGGAAACCACACGCACAACGCCCTCCTGAAGGCATCCTCGCACATTAAACAATACTGCTATGAATATAATGGCTCGTTTGAATGACAAGATAATGGACAACACCATCACCGGGTGCTCATGCATGCTTCTTTCGACACCGGTGCATTACAACAACATGCTTTGACGCAAGATGCGCTTTAGGATGCTGACAGATGTGGTTACAAATATAGATGCATAGAAGAGCATGTTTACTACACATGTTCTCATCTATCATGATGTTAAGTGTATGCATCTACTACATCTACACGGCTAGACGAGCCGGACAGGCAGGGCACACGAAGTTCGGGTACTGCGATTGACACGGATATGGTGGACTGAACCATGAGGTTCGCGCCAGGCTTACACAGCTCACACAGCTCACACGGCTCATACGGCTCACAGGGCTCACACAGCTCACACAGCTCGCATAGCTCACACGGCTCATACGGCTCACACGGCTCACACGGCTCACACGGTTCACACTACTCCTACTGCCCATACGGCTCACACGGCTCACACAGCTCACACAGTTCACACAGGTCACACGGCTCACACGGCTCATACCGCTCACAGGGCTCACATGGATCACACGGTTCATACGGTTCACGCAGCTCACACCGCACACACGGTTCACAGGGCTCATATGGTTCACACGGTTCACACTACTTCCACTGCTCATACGGCTCGCACGGCTCACACAGCTCACACAGCCTCACACGGCTTACACGGCTCACACGGCTCACACAGCTTACACCGCTCACAGCTCACACAACTCACACAGCTCACACGGCTCACACAGATTCATACGGCTTACACAGCTCACACGGCTTACCCGGCTCACACACCTCACACAACTCACACGGCTCAAGCAGCTCACACAGCTCACACGGCTCATAAGGCTCACACATCTCACACACTCACACAGCTCTCACGGCTGACACAGCTCACACGGCTTACAAAGCTCACACGGCTTACCCGGCTGACACAGCTCACACGGCTTACACAGCTCACACGGCTTACCCAGCTCACACAGCTCACACGCCTCACACGACTCACACGGCTCAAGCAGCTCACACAACTCACACGACGTACACAGCTCACACAGCTCACACAGCTCACACGACTCCAACAACCGCCAGCGGCGACAGCCTGTCAGTACCCCTAAAGACAA